ATATATATATATATATATATATATATATATATATATATATATATATATATATATATATATATAAAGAAGCGAACTCACCACCATTCTGCATTTGTTTAAGGGATGAGGTCAAGGCCTGGGGTACCTGCAGCGGGTTATCTACAGCAGCACGAAAGCGTTCGTCTATCTTAGATACTGCAGCAGCCCCCAGGTCAGTGGGTGAGGGAGATGCTGCTGCTGCTGCTGCTGCTGCTGCTGCTGCTGCTGCTGCTGCTGCTGCTGTCTGTATAAGGCTGCTGTCAGCTGTATACACACACAAGAACACGCAACACAACCAGAATAACCAACGGAGAGAGAGAGAGAAAAGAAAACTCAAAAAAAAAACAAACGAAAGAGGGGGTAAATACTCAGAGAAAAAGAGAAAAATAAAAAAAAACATAAATATATAATAGTCTTTAAGCAGTGATGAACGAACCTCGAGCAGCTGAGTTGTGCAGAGCCTCCTCCTCCCTGTTCTGGTGAGAGGAGGAGGCACCTGACCACTGGACCATATCGCCAGGGACCACTGGTCCTTGCCTGGTGTTGAACCGGCGTTTCCATCGAGCAGTTGAAGCTCCGTGCCGGCCGGCCGAGTCACGAGAGGGGTCCGGCTGGACCGAGAAAAACCTCAACGCCCCGGCACTGGCACTGCTGCTGCACGGCCTGAAGAGCATGAGGCCGCTGACAGCTGCTGCGAAGCAAAAGGCGACGAAAACAGTCGACCGTCTGGCGCGCCGTCTCGCCATCACCGACGGGTGCAACAGGAAAAGATACGGATGGAGCAGCGGCTGCTGAAACTCAGAGAAAACCACGCCAAGTCCTCACACGGTTTATACAAGTGACCCTGCAGCAAGCAGAGCCTCGACCCTGCAGGAGCACCGAGGTCGAAAAGCTTTCGCTATATAAGCCAAAAACCATGAACGGGAGGCAACAAACTCCGCCGCGTTCAGAAACATGAATTGCACGGGTCCTTCTCAGGACGAGAGGGGGGCTAGGCTACATCTCAGGGAGAGAGAAATGCATAGAGGAAAAGGTTTAGGAGTTCAAGTGTAGAAAAGAAAGAGGTGTTTCGGTCAAGAAAACCCAAAGAAACCTCAAAAATACGAGAAATTCAACATGAATATTCAGGTGTACGAACGCCCGCGAGCGGTGCAGAGTGGAAAGCGGAGCGGAATACGGGCTAGACAACCGTTTTTTCTCTTTCAGCGGAACATGTTGAATGTGAAATTAAATTTTAATACAAAAAACCCAAAGATCATTCAACTTTTTCTGAATTTGTACACGTCGATGCTGTTGGTTTTCTACCGGCTTCCATGGCCCCCCCCTGGCGGCATGCAGCCTCTCAGCTTTCCCGTATAAAAAGTAATTTTTTTGCGGAAAAAAATTTATAAATATTGGTTTCAAGTATTTATAAACCCTTTTATCCGGCTGTATCAAGAAAAGGAATTACTTAATTTCTTCCGCTTTCCCCCGTCCCGACCCGGCGGCTAGCCATGCTGCACAGTACAGTCCCAGGCCGGTCCGCTCCGGTAAGCTGAATACTTGCAGCATGCTGCTTGCTTTGGGGCTTTCTTCTTCGAGGAAAATTCTTTTGTAAGATATTTTTCCTCTTATTTGTCTCAGTTTACTCCTTTTCAGCAGCATAGAAGAGCTGCAGGGGCAGCGCCGGGCCATCGATTCAACTCGATCCCGCTGGCTGCTGCTTTCTTCTCTCGCAGTTTTGTTCTTTATTCTCCTTCATTTTTTCCTCTTTTTATTTCATCTCCCTCATTAATACTTCCTTAAAGCAGAAGAACTTTATCGGCTGCTGCACCGCGCTCGCTGGCCCTCTCC